GTTAAAAAAAAAAAGATATCAAAAATACCTGGGCGGCGTATGAGATCGGACATGACAATAAAAACATAAACATAAAAACAACATCGCAACATTGTTGGCGGGCACCGGCTAGACATCGAAACACCCGTTTTCCGTCCGCAATGCTCGACGCGGCTCAGCTTGTAATGCATAAACGGCTAGTCGAAGTACAAATCTAAATACGGGGTCAGTTCCGCGTACAGCGTTGCCACGCCGTTGTTATTGATGGGCGCGATACACCAGACGAGGAACAGCGTTTTGAACAGCAGGTAGAACGGCACGAACCTGAGTATGATTCCGAAGTGCTGTTCCACAATCAGTATGACGACGAACGCGGGCCAATAGGCCAGCCATTTGTGTGTGGCCTGGACCGCGGACTTTGCGTACGACGCCGGCTTCCGGGGCGTCTCCATCAGCGCGATCGTCGTGTAGGCCGGGTACACGAAACCTATCGCGTTACTGATCACCGTGGCGATCATCCCGCAATCGAATAAGAGCAAAAATGACAGGCCGGTCACCGCGATCAGCAGCTGTCTAAATCGGTTCACGCCGGTCCGGGTCTCCACCCAGCTGAACAGTTTGTCCCACGGTTTGGACGGGTCGCGCAGAGTGGCATCGATCACGTCCATCACCATTTTCACTTGTTCCGCACTCATGGTTTGCTGATCAGTATCAATAAACTTCGTTGATATTTAATATGTTTTCCTTATGTAAGTTTATAAAAATAATAAAATATTTATAAATTTGATAATGGATATACGGTATATTAATACTATTTACTGTTTCTACGGACACCCCGGTCGCACGTTTTAAGTGGCCAGCGAAAGTTTATAATACGGGCTTTATAATCGTTAGTTTTTTTTTTTTTTTTTTTAATCGGCGATAAATTTGAAAATTCGTTTTTTTCAAATTCAAATCCGGTTCTATTCGAAATAAAAAACTCGTAAATATCACTGCCTTTCAAAACATGTACAACCGAACTTCACTCCGAATCGTTTTTCGTAACCAAAGGCTTATCGTTGTTTTTAACATATATCATCACATAATCTGAAAATAAAAAGGATTAACTGTAAAAATACAATTTTTTCACGATTTCGTTACTTTAAATAAGTACCTACCACGTTTTCTAGCACATATATGGCTCCAATTGAAAAACGACAAGAGACCTTTTTTGTTCGGTTATCAGGCTTGTTTTTAAGGTTGCAATTCATT